GTTCATCTCTGTTACCTGGTTTGATTTAAAAAAATGGTTAGGTGGCAACGTCTGAAAACAGGAAAAGATGACAAAAAACCTCTCCCTCGAGGCATGTAGGTGGAGCTAAGAGTCTCTCAACAAAAAGGAGGGCACCAGTAGGAGCTGACAGCCACTGGTCAATCAGTCGCCAAACAATGGACAGCACTTAATGCAGGCCAGTTCTGTGGAAGGAAGGCAACAGGTCCAGCCCCCATGGAGTGCCGTGAACCACACCTCCAGCTGTTCAGCCAGAGGTTAGAGGATGAAGAGAATGAACATCTTCTAGTCGATCTGAATTCATTTTAAGACTGTAGGAAAGTATAGGAGTCCTAACTGTAGGCACCTCCATGAGTAATGCAGGAACCAAATGTCCTCTGGGCTACCCCTGCATTGATGCCAACAGAATCAGTTTCTTGTTTAGGTTTTTCACAGAGAGGAGATGGAACCCAGGGCCTCATAAATGGTGAGTAAGCGGGCTGGGGATGTGGCTCAAGCAGTAGCGCGCTCGCCTGGCATGCGTGCGGCCCCGGTTCGATCCTCAGCACCACATACCAACAAAGATGTTGTGTCCGCAGAGAACTAAAAAATAAATACTAAAAAAAATTCTTCTCTCTCTCTCTCTCTCTCTCTCCTCTCTCACTCTCTTAAAAAAATAAAATAAAATAAAATAAATGGCAAGTAAGCAATCTATCACTAAGCTACAACCTGGTCCCTTTTATTTTTATTTTGAGACAGGATTTTACTAAGTTTCCTAGGCTCAAACTTGCAATCCTCCTGCCTCAGCCTTCTGGGCYACTGGGATTACAGGTGTGTGCCCCATCCAGACAGCAGACTCTACTTCTAAGTAATGGCAACAAGGCAACCTCAATTTAGACACTACCACCTCTGTCTCAAGAGGAATCATGGCCAGGGCAGCAATAACCCAAGATGAGGTTGCATCAGCTCCATTGCCACACTGGTGTCTCACACCTGGAAAATATTTAACTTGGCTACAGGAGTTAGAGGGTAAAGAAGAAGAGCCAAAGCGCCATCGGAATAGGGTGAACAAGATCAGGGTTCTAAGAAGCGCATGGGCTGGTCTGACCAGCTGTAGAGTGGACACTGTCCAGACTACTATGGAGTGGCGGGCACGTGTGCAGCCAGGAAGGAGTGAAGTCATTAGGCTAACTTGGGAAGAGCAAGCAGGGCTCCTACAGTGAAGAAGGCATTCCTAGAGGGATAGCACTGCCAGAGCAAGGAGAAGTGAGGAAACCCAAAAGTTCTGGGAACTACTAACGTACTCACAATGACAGGCTGGAGGGGACCCATGGGGCAGCAGGACTTGGGGCTGACAAAGTATGTGGGAAACCTCTTCATAAAGGGTCATGAAAGCCTGGCTTACCAGGTGACAAGGGAGATGCTCAAGGTCCCACACCAGAGGACAATGCAACAGGACCAGGTTGCATTCAGAAAGGCCTTATCAGGGTCTCTTGAGCAGGTACTAGGACAAGAGTGGCATCAGGGACACCAGTTCAACTATCAGCTAGCCACTTGACCTAAAGAAGACATCAACCGAGCCAGGCACTCTACAAAATAGAATGTGTGAGGTATTCACGAGTGAGCTGGTGACCAACTAGTAGAGAGAATGAGGGCAAGAGATACACCCCAAAACCCTCTGGGATTTAGGAAAAAGGGCAAGGTTAGAAATTCTTACTAGGGAATGATTTCCAAGTACTGGGTAGATAAACCCACAGAGAAATGAAGGAACTCATGGAGAGTGACCAAATGGGGACTCAAAGTTTAGGTACCCAGCTTTTCAGGGAGAGATAGAGGTGTTTTCCTAATACTAAACATATTGATGACACTAAAATAATTCCAACTGAAATAATGTCCATTAAAAGGAACGCCAAGTTATCCTTAAGAGGGGAATTGTGACCCTTTTCAGAAATCAGATCCCAGAATTCTAGGAGATAAGAATTCCTCCTGGGCTGGGGTTGTGGCTCAGTGATAGAGCGCTTGCCTAGCATATGTAAGACACTAGGTTTGATTCTTAGCACCACATAAAAATAAATAAATAAAATAAAGGTGTTGTGTCCATCTACAACTAAAATTAAAAATAATTTTAAAAAGAGTAAAGAAGAAATTAAAAAAAATAATTCCTCTAACCATAAAATCTCTAACAACATATGGTTAAGAATCCAATTAGACAGCTGGGGTATGGGTCAGTGGTAGAGTGCTCACCTGGCACATGTGAGGCACTGGGTTCGATCCTCAGTACCACATAAAAATAAATAAAATAGACCCAGAATATCCAAAGCAATCCTTAGCAAGAAGAGTGAAGCACTTGGCATCACTATAACCAGACCTTAAACTATACTACAGAGCAATATTAACAAAACCAGCATAGTACTGGGAAACAAAATAGACTTTAGACCAATGGTACAGAGGAGAGGACACAGAGACAAACCCACATAAATAGAGTTATCTCATACTAGACAAAGGCACCAAAACCATATACTGAAGAAAAGATAGGTTCTTCAATAAATGGTGCTTGGAAAACTGGAAATCCATATGCAGCAAAATAAAATCAAGCCCCTATCTCTCACCATGCACAAAATGCAACTCAAAGTGGATCAAGGACCTAGGTATTAGACCAGAGAACCTGCACCTAATAGAAGAAAAAATAGGTCCAAATCTTCACCATGTCAGATTAGGCCCCAACTTCCTTAACAAGACTCGTATAGTGCAAGAAATAAAATCAAGAATCAATAAGTGGGATAGATTCAAACTAAAAAGCTTCTTCTCAGCACAAGAAACAATCTGAGAGCCTACAGAATGGGAGCAAATTTTTATCYCTGACACATCAGATAGAGCACTAATCTCCAGGATATATAAATAACTCAAAAAACTTAACACCAAAAAAAAWAATAATAATAACCTAATCAATAAATGAGGAAAGGAACTGAAAAAACACTTCTCAGAAGATGATATACAATTAATCAGCAAATATATGAAAAATGTTCATCATCTCTAGCAATTAGAGAAATGTGAATCAAAACTACTCTAAGATTTCACCTCACTCCAGGCAGAATGGCAGCTATTAAGAATACAAATGGGCTGGGGCTGTAGCTGAGTGGCAAGAGCGCTTGCCTAGCACATGTGAGTTCTATCCTGGGTTCTATCCTCTGCWGCGCTATATAAAAATAAACAAATAAAATAAAGGCTTTCTGACCATGTATAATTACCAAAAAAACAAAAATTAAAGAAAAAAAATACAAACAGGGCCTGGGGCTGTAGCCCAGTGGTACAGTGCCTGCCTCTCACGTGTGAGGCCCTGGGTTCTCGAATCTCAGTACCACATTTAAAAAGTAAATAAATAAAGATATTGTGTCCATCTACAACTAAAAAAATATTTTAAAAAAGAATACAAACAACAATAAGTGTTGGCGAGGATGTGGGGGGAAAGGCACACTCATACATTGCTGGTGAGACTGCAAACTGGTGCAGCCAATCTGGAATGCAGTATGGAGATTCCTTGGAAAACTTGTTGGAGTGGAATCACCATTTGACCCAGCTATTCCACTCCTCGGTCTATACCCAAAGGACTTAAAAACAGCATACTACAGGGACACAGCCACATCAATGTTTATAGCAGCACAAGTCACAATAGCTAAATTGTGGAACCAACCTAGATGCCCTTCAATAGATGAATGGATAAAGAAACTTGGTATATATACACAGTGGAATATTACTCAGCATTAAAAGAGAATAAAATCATGGCATTTGCAGGTAAACGGATGGAGTTGGAGAATATCATGCTAAGTGCAGTAAGCCAATCCCAAAAAAACAAAGGCCAAATGTTTTCTCTGATATGTGAATGCTGATCCATAATGGGGATGAGGGTGGGAAGCATGGGAGGAATGGAGGAACTCTGGATGGGGCAAAGGGGAGGAAGGGAAGGGAGGGGCCATGGGAGTAGGAAAGATGGTGGAATGAGATGGACATCCTTACTCCTAGGTACATGTATAAAGACATGAATGGTATGACTCTACTTTGGGTACAACCAGAGAAAAGAAAAATTGTGCTGTATATGTATACAATGAATTGAAATGCATTCTGCTGTCATGTATAACAAATTAGAATAAATAAATAAAATTTTAAAAATAAATAAATTAATTAAAAATATGGGGCTGGGGTTGTAGCTCAGTGAAGAAATGTTTGCCTGGTATGTGTGAGTTCAATCCTCAGCACCACATAAAAATAAATAAATTAAACAAAGGTATTGTGTTCATCTACAACTAAAAAAGGTAATAATAAATAAAAATAAATAAATAAATATATTGTGTCCAGCTACAAATAAAAAATATAGAAAATAATAATAAAAAATGAATCCAATTAGAACCGACCAGCACGGGCCAAAGGCACCTACAGTTGCCATGGCAGCAGGCACTTGAGTCTAATGTCATCCTTATTGTCAGGAAAAAGTTAAGAGGTAGACCTGAGTTGGACTCTGGAAAGTTCTCTGGAGTGCAGGAGAAGCATGTGGCTCCTGTTCTTTCTGAAAGTACTCACTCTCTCCCTTGAGAATGTTCCCTTTCCCTTCTCCTGTCCCCTCAATAAACTCATGGCTATTACTCTGAGTGATGTGGCTAAAATCTTTGACTTGATCACAAGAATTGGGGCCTCCAGCCCTGTGACATTATCAGCACTGTCAAAACATCCCAATTGGGATRAACTTTCTCATGCTTATAGGAGTACCACTACCTTTATCAGATCAGTTTAGTAAAAAGCAAACTTCTGCTTCAGAAAGACATAACGAGATTGAAGAGAAACTAAAAAGAAAAGCAAACATGTCTCTGACTGGCCACATTCCCCCAAGAACCGCTGTCCAGGGACTCCCAGCTGCACCCTGTCCAGCCCATAGTAGCCAGYGTGAAGCCCAAGGCCTGCAGGGAATAGCTTCAAAGGTCGCAGGCCCCATTATATTGCACCTCTCTTACCTGTACACAATTCTTTCCTTCTGTAAATCTTCCAAGCCACAGCACACCTCTGCAGCATAGAAAACAGCTCTCTGCTCATCAAAGCCAGGACTTCCCAGGTTGTAAATGTGGAATTTCAGATCCCCTCCATTCATGATGGTTAGCACCAAACACAAGGTATCTCTGGTTTCGTAAGTGTAGGCTAAACCAACCTAAAGACACAGCATCACAAAAAATAAAACACAAAAAGTCTCCTCATTCATTGGTGACTTGGTCTAATTGCTAACAGTATTCCAATTATCCATGCTGGATTTGTAACTAGAACACCAAGCTACTACATGCTTTAGAGAAATGGGTCCCCTACATAATGTGCCTCTCAGAGGTCTTACTGCAGCAGCTCTGCATTGAGAGGAGAGAACTTTCTAGGTGTGAATGAGGAAGTGGCAAAGCTTCAAAGACACCTGTATTGTGTGCTGGGCTCTCCCGGCCTCAGCACCAGCATGGGAATGTCTGCAGTGCTGCATTCAGCATGCAAGTGACCCTCCATGCAAGAGCGATCCCACAGCTCCCACCCTTCCCACATTCTGTGTTGCTGATCTTTGTAATCTGTGTAAGGCTGGTGGAAAATATTTCTAAGTTCCTTGGGAAGGCCCAACACTACAGAAACTAAATTGTTAAGTGGAATAAACTGTGACTATTACTATGTCCCCTTCATAAAACTAGATTTGGGATTTCTATGTTTCAAGGGAGTTATGATAGGAGGCAGACATGAGCAGAGGGAACAGAACACATGGTTAAGGGAATAATTCTATAAGATGGGCCCACTGTGTTGATGCCCACATGCTTTCTTTTCAAAGAAGCAATTCATCTACAGCTCTGCCAGGCTTAAGTGGACAGGTTTGTCACATCCCTCAGCAAATTACCTGTTATCTGCAGGAGAAATGCAGACCAGAAATAATGTTGATAAGAGGAACCCAAGTTACTCTGAAGGGAGAGACTTTTGTAACTCTTTTCAGAGATCAGATCCCAGAACTCAGGGAGATAAGGATAATTCCTTCTAACCATAAAGTCTATAAGACTGTATGGTTAAGAATCCAATTAGAAATGGTCAGGCAATGGGCCCCAATTAAGGTCTTATACAAAGAAAGAGACCATGCCAGGAGGCTAACCCTTAAAAATATTAATGGGCACCAAGGATTTAGGATAAAGAAAGAGAAAACTGAATCTTAAAGGAAACATCCACAAGCCATTGAGATGGAAAGCACAGGTCTCCTTATAAAATGAGGAAAGCCATTGAGATGAAAGCACAGGTCTCCTTATAAAATGAGGAAAATACTCAGACATAGGTAAAACTGGCACAAAATTGTGCAGCTCTACCCTGGATCCACTTCCAGTTTGGCCCCTGAGACAGCCTCTGTAAGTACTGGACCCCCCAGTCCAAGTCAGGTTGCTTCTCACTCTCCAGACAGCCCACGTTCTCCCTTGAATGTGTGTCTACCTTACTAAATAAACCTGTCTATGACTTTGGCTCGTGCTGAAACTTTTTCCCAACAAGAAGCACAATGGTCCCGAATTGAGCTCCCCCTCTCCTGGGACTCTCCTCTGTATGAAGCTCACCTGCGGGAACACTCCAACCAACTCCTTTGTTCTGGAAAGGTAGGGGAAAATAGCAGGAGTGAACCCCAGTGGGACTTAGAGGAAGAATTAAAACCCAGGCTAAAGGCTACAGCCAATAGCCTTGATACTTTTGCGAGACAAGAACCCAGAAGGAGGGCTTGGGTTGTGGCTCAGCCRTAGAGCGCTCATCTCACATATGCGGGACCCTGGGTTCGACCCTCAGCACCACATAAAAATAAATAAGTGAAATAAAGGTGTTGTGTCCGACCACAACTGAAAAAAAAAAAAAAGAACCCAGAAGGAAATTGGCAAAGTGGGGAATCTAGTCTCTGGTTTCAGTTACACATGTTTAAAGCGATTCAAGGATAAGCCCATTTTATTAAAAAGATTTCCATGTAATTGCATATGAAACTGACACACTACACATACCAACGCACATGTGCACTAAATTCAGATGTGGGCTGTGAAGGAATTTGTCCCTCATTGTAAACCAGCTGACTCCAGTGCTAAGAAACAAATAACTTTGAGGAAATAACTCAATATTCTAAGTCATTTTAGAAATTATTTTTCAAACTCTCCCTTTTCACTAACCTACGTACTGCAGTAGAGGCTGCAGGAATGTGTCAGCAGGTAGAGGAACCTCGGCTTGGACAGGACACTGTACCACACAATGACAGCACAGCTGGGGCCTGGAGGCACCTGATTCCAGCCTGCCCTGATCAAGCAGTACCTGCAACCATGAAGGAGGAACTCTGGGCTTGGTGTGACTGGGGTACACTAGTGAGGGTCTAGTGATAAACACACAAGGAATCATAAAAGGCAAAGAGACGGAAGAGAGACTGAGCCACAGAGAAGGCCCAGATGGGAGAAGGGCTAAAGAGTATTTTCAGCACATTCACATCACTATGCCCTACGTGGACAARAGCAGCTAGCTGGAGGCCATTCAAGGAAGGAGAGAGCATGCCACCAGAAAACGCCAAGGTAACTGAGGGGACAGTAACCCTCTGTACAAAAGTGAAGAGGGGCTGAGAGTAGAATGGATGGCAGCAACAGAAAGGAAGACACAGCTGGCAGCAGGATCAACACCGCTCTGCGCAAGATCTGCATAAGGAAGACAAACTCTCCCTTCCACTGGACAGAAAGCCCCAAATAAACTCCACTGAGAAGCAGAGAGCATGACTCCAGGGCTCCAACAGGAGTTTACAGCCTACAATATATCCTACAGGGTTGAGAAACAGTAAGTCGGGTGGCTCGTTTTCAGAATGTAGCATTTAGCCTTAATTGGAACATAAGCTCCAGTTGCAGCCATTTTAATTATAGCCCTTCCCTTTGCTGGCCCCAATTTTAAGATTAGCCAGTCAATAGATGGCAACCTTGAGTTCCTCTGATCAAGGCAAAAAGGGGGATAAGAGAGRTGGACTGCCCACCAGGTGGGCTTGCAGCCAGGTTCAGCGGCACACCCTTCCTTCTGTTGGCCTTGGCAGCCAGTGTCTGACCTCTTGTGGCACCTCAGTTCTCTATCGCTCCCTAAAGAAAGTACTTACTACAAATCGACTGTGCACTTTTTCTAGGATTCTTTTTTCATTCAGAGCCATAGCTTCACCTTTCCTCTTTTTTATTCTTTTTTTTTCTAGCTTTTTGCAGGCATACATTTTTCCTGTAGCTCGTACTTGACAGGCACAAACCTAGTTTAAACAAAGAAAAGGTTTATATACAACTGTGATTCTTGGGACGCGCACGCGCGCACACACGCGCACACACACGCGCACACACACACACACACACACACAAAACCTGTTTATTCTGTGATAACCCTCTCTAGTAAAGTTCAGAAACAAAACCTGAGAAGCCAAGGGCATTTCAGTTGTGAACATATCACATGGTTCCTTTTGTTTGTGCAGTATTGGGACAGAACCAGGGACTCCCTCACACCAGGCAAACACTACACTGGGCCACATCCCCAGGACTTGGATGATTTTATCTTGTGACTGGTCTTATTTGCCCAGGCTGGCCTTGCACTTGTGTAGCAGGGATTATAAGTGCATACCAGCATGCCCTAGTAAAGGGTAACTACCCCCTGCCTGGATGCAAAATAAATTATCTTAATAATGTCATCAGAATTAGTGCCCTGGAAAGGGAGAGTTCCCCTCAGCTAGTCTTCAGGAAATTTGATCAGCATCTTCCACTCCTATCTTTTGAACTGGAAATGACTTTCCCTAAGATCTAACTACTTCCCTTTGAGGTGCAAATGCCTTTGAAGTGTAAACCCTAGTGGARACTCCAGGCCCAAGGCTAGAGAGGCCTAGTACAAACAGACAGCTCTTCTTTTTATCACACTCTTGCTTCCCACTTGAAACCCATGCCCAACCACATTTAGACTAGAAAATTTATGACACTAGATAGCCTATAAATGTTGTGGAAAACTGGTGATGGATGCTTAGAATTTGGAGTCTGATCTCTGGCTGATCTTCTGGAATGAAGTTTGAGTTGTCTTCCAGCTGCTTGCCGCTTCTTGAACAGTCTGTTTCCTGCAACAGCCTAAGACACACTGAGCTTTCAAATTGGTTCTTCATCTCTTATCCTAGCTTCTCACGGTGAGGCTGCCCAGTCAAGTGAATGCAATGCCATGTTTTTATATGGAACTTGTTCATGTGTGGCATGTTAATCTGTTTAGTTTAAATATGTCCCCATATACCTATTTTGCTTTTTATATTTTAAAATACAAAATTAAGAAGATTCTTGGGCTGGGGATGTGGCTCAAGCGGTAGTGTGCTCGCCTGGCATGTCTGGCATGCGTGCGCCCCGGTTCGATCCTCAGCACCACATACAAACAAAGATGTTGTGTCCACCGAAAAATAAAAAATAAATAATAAAAAATTCTCTCTCTCTCTCTTTAAAAAAAAAAAAAGAAGATTCTTAACTTTTTTAAGTTAAGAAGTTCAAGGCTGGGGGCAGGGGTGGTGGCTCAGTGGTAGAGTGCTCACCTAGCATGCATGAAGCACATAAAAACAAACTAATGCATCCACCTAAAACTAAAGATACATAAATAAATAAATATTTATTTTAAAAAAAGAAGTTCAAGCCTGGAGGGATGACTGTGCCAGCCAGTTTCTCACTGAGTATCAAAATGCAAATATGCAACACCTCACTGTAATGCCTCACTCTTGGGTCAGCTCCCTGAATAATTTAAAGGCAGTGCTGGTGGCTTTTGCCTTATTCTGAATTTTGGGAGCATGCATGGTTTATATCACATGTGGACAGTGTGACCTACTTCTGACTTGAACACACAGGGTTAGTTCCCTGATGGCTCTCCCTACTCCTGACTGAAAGTGCTCACATTCAACAGTGTCACCAATGGTACTTTTCATAACTGGCACATGTCACTTTTGAAACAGATGAGTTAAGTAAGTATTTAATGATGTACTCTGGCCAGGTGAGGTGGCTGGTACCTAGAGTCCCAGCTACTAGAGAGGCTGAGGCAGAAGGATCAATTGAGCCCATGAATTTGTGGACAGCAGACAWCAGAGTGACACCACACTTCTTTAAAAAAAAAAAAAAAAGTACTCTGAATTATCTGAATTTTAGGGCTACTCCTAATTTATAGAAATAGAGTAATAAAAAATTCACATTATAGAAATAATTATCTTTCAATTTGGACAAACTGCCTCAACTTGAAAATTTTTTTTTTTTAAAAGAGAGAGAGAGAGAGGAGAGAGGGGAGAGAGAGAGAGAGAATTTTTAATATTTATTTTATTTAGTTCTCGGCGGACACAACATCTTTGTTGGTATGTGGTGCTGAGGATTGAACCCGGGCCGCACGCATGCGAGGCGAGCGCGCTACCGCTTGAGCCACAACCCCAGCCCTCAACTTGAAAATTAAGCACAGGAAAACAGCTTCCTTTAAAAATAGGAAGTCAAAAAGGTGAGGGATTTTTTAAAAGCTTGTAGCAAAATATTTTTTGCTCAAACTTTTATCTCCATTCTCAGGATTGGTTAACCAATTCCCAAAACACACAGCAAGGAAATAAATATAGTGGTAAAGTTGACACCTTACCTGAAGCTCCTGTCTTCCAATGATCTGGTTGCCCACCTGTCTAGAACAAAAGTACTGCTCATAACTGGCCCATATCACTCACCTCTCCAAATCCACCTTTTCCTAGAACTCTGTAATGTCTAAAAGTCTTCTTTGTTACTGGTTGCCTAATCAATTAAAAAAAAGGTTTCAGGTCTTATATCATACATGATGTTATTTTAAAACACAGAAGCCTAGCAGCTCCCAGGCCAGTCATATTTGGTGACCAACTGTGCTCCCCAGGAAAGCCYAGAACCAAGGCATCAGGGCTTCAGCACCGAGGCGCTCCCTCTTGGGAACTGCATTCATAGAGACAAGTGTAATTCAGATTTGTTGAAAACACTAATGCAAGATGCAGAGCAGTCCAGTCATCCTTTCTAACTGAAGACAGGTCTGCAAGCAGCCCACACTAGGAAATACTCATGTTTAAACTCATGGCACTATCTCAGGCATACCTCTGAACCTGCCAGAGAGCTGCTAGGGAAAATGCATAAACATAGCACATTGTCCTCTGAATAAAGAACCTCAAAAACATTTATACCCAATGTTCCAAAAGAARCATGTGAACTGCAACTGGAAAATTAATCAGTCAACAATAATCTCAGTAACAATAACAGTGATCATAATAGCACTGTCAGGGCACTAATTCTGTGTGCCCAAACTGGGCTAAACATTTCACATGCATTTCCCAGATGATTCTAACAATAGCCCAACAGGGCAAGTTCCGGAATTATCTCCTTTACAGGACCTGAAGCTCACAATGGTTAAGTTACTTGCCTGAGGTCACAGATAGCAAGAGGCTAAGCAGGAGCCTAGATTGCAGTTTCAACCATCATATTATATTATTATAAGTCTAGGATGTTTTATTTTCTAACCACTGTACCAACAGGACTGCTACTTTAAAAAGTGAAACTAGAGTTCATTGACTCAAAAGAAATTATGTAATACTATACCTGTTAATAATTTCTATATAAAAATGCCATATATAACTCAGAATTTACAGTAGTGTTTTGACARATAGAAAAGTAGACCTCAATCAGTACGCATTATTAGAAGTAACTACTTGTTTCTATTGAGTTTTAAATTAAAACATACCTTTCTAGCCATTTCCATTGCAGAAATTGGGAAAAATAAGGGCTTTCTTGATATTCTTCAAATGGATCTTTACTCAAATAGTTATGGACTACTCTAGAAAAAGAGTTTATGTAATTATATACATTTGTTGTATAAAAACATGAAAACATCTATATCTCAGTACACTAACACAGAATATGGAACGGTCCATCATTATACACAATTCAGTATACAATTGCTATTACAGAAATTCACAATGAATTCCAGTGCTATCACTGAAAATAGGAAGAATTTAAAAGACATGAAATCGCTTTACCCTCCCATCTTAAGTCATTTTTTTCTTGCATATATGGACATAGGAAAAATAATAATAATAAAAAAATATACTATTAGTAAGACAAGAGTTTAAAATGCATTCAAGGTGTGTGCATGTATGTGTTTCATGCACAATTTACAAAATTCAAACCTTTTGTAAATAAGACTAAAGTGGCCGGAGTCAGTGCATACTCCTGTAAGCCCAGCTACTTGGGAGGCTGAGCCAGGAGGATGGCAAGTTTGAGGCTAGTCTGAGCAACTCAGACCCATCTTGAAAGAAAAGAAATTTAAAAAGGGGCTCAGTGGTAAAGTGCCTCTGGATTCATTCCCCAGGACTTGAAAAAAACAAAAAACAAAAAAAGAGCCACAACACTAAAGCAAGCAAATATCAGAATGATTATAGTCATTTGGTAGAAAATGTTAATATGTGACACATCTGAAACTGAATATAAAGTACTCAATAAATTACTTTAGGCTACACATTTCTTTTTTCCTTTCTTTCTTATGGTTGTTATTATTTGTTGTTGGTTGTGGTGCCTGAACCCAGGGCCTCATACATGCTTAGCAAGTGCTCTACCACTGGGCCACATCCCCAACTCCTAAGCTTCTTGAAGAAATTTTATGAGATTAGTCAGGTCTCTTAGATTTTATTTACAATTTCATTATAGAAATAATAAAATTTTTACTTAGAGTAGACCTTAGTAATAGATGCCCTCAATAAATTATTTTGTTGAATGAATAAATGAGCAAATTCAACTCCCTGAGTTTTGGTGCCCACTTGCAACATCAATGTAAGACCRATGTAAGATAAGGTTTTGAAAACTCTTTGGGCATTAAAAATACATAGGAAAAGATCTTTTTTTTTTTTTTTTTTCAATATTTATTTTTTAGTTCTCGGC